AAAAGAAAACATGTAATGAGACAGTTAATTAAATGAATAAAAGCCTTATGGCTTGAGGTGGTCTTGATTTTGAATAATAGTCTACAACTAACAATGGTTTTTCATAGGAACTACTATAATACTACAATTTTAGTGGGAAATAATTTAATCGACTTGGTACCTAATGTGTTCTAGTCAGTTTTACTGGGGATTAAAAAAAAAAAGATGATAGTTCCCTCTTAAAATATACATACCTTGTACATATTGCAGATTATGTTCTAACCATTGAAATAAAGCACATATCACAAAAAAAAGTTCCATGGTTTTTGATTTCCAAGTGCTTACAGAACTATACTATAGTTACAAAGGATAGAATAGCATTATGTCTTAAAAAGTGCTTTCTACACCTAGATTAAAAATGCTAATGATCTGACATTTTATCATTTCATAAGCTGGTGGAGAGTTTTGATTTAATGTTTGTGGCTACTGTCTGATCATGGTGACTAATGATGAATGTCAGAGTGACTTACATCAATTTCTTAAAACAATGAAGTTTTGTGTATTGACTTTTTCTTTCATGAAGCAGCTCTTCATCTGTTGAGGTTTAATCATGAATTTAGAGCAATTTAGCCAAATTTTCAGGCTCTACTTCTAAGTTGTTATATTCTCTCTGCCACATTGTTTGTTCCATTGAGGTCTTAAGCCACATCAGATCATTCACAAGAGCTCAACTTTCATACTCCTGTTAATGTTAATATTTTGATCTCTTTCTATGGATCATCAATGTTATTGATGACATCTATTGATCCCATCTGTATTGATTATTTTATGCTCGTTGCTGAGACAAAATACCTGAAGCCCAGAGTTGGGAAAGGAAAGGTTTATTTCTTACAGTTTTTGGAGGTTTCAGTCCACACTCAGTTGGCTCCAAGGCAGGCGGGTATGGCTGGGCCGCAGTTCATGGTAGCTACCAACAGCAAGCAGAAACCAGCAAAGAGCAAGACACACCTTCTTCCTTCCATTACATCACAACCTGGCTCCACCCCTATGTGGGTGGAGCACTGACAAGATCAATCCAAGCACTAGACGATGAAGCATCACAAATACACAATGCAAACTCATGAGGCCTGGGGGACACAGACATAAGCCATGACACCAGTGCTGATCACAGAGTATCATGATGTGAAATCCAGCAATGCTATTATTCTTTGTTCAGAATGATTTTAACCTGCTTTAGTTTGTTCAATCTAAACATAAATGAAGATATGAATAACTGCATGTATGTTTTAAGTGTATAGGATTGACAACAATGTTACTAAGTTTTTGTTGGACAGTTGAACAGAACTGTTTGCAGTCTTGCTTCTTGAACTTTACATGTTCAACTCTTGTACCTTGAATAACTATTTGTAAAATGACAATGTATAAACATCAACTAGTGATTTCTTACAGATTATTTTTTGCTCTGAACATATGTATTATTTCTACCTATTTTCTGTTTTGCTTAGTCTTTCTTTAAATAAAATTTTAAAAAAAGTAAGTGTTCTGACCTAGAAATGTGAGCAATGACTTTTTGCTTACAAGTAGTTATTCATAACCAGTCTTGTGGCCCACCAATCACAATGTGGCCAGGAAGTAAAATCACACTTAAAGTCTAGGTGCTATCAATAGAGAACAGAATTAATAATCACCATGACTACACTGCGTAAAAAATGAAAAATTCCCGTTTAACCATGGACTTTATCATCTCCTTTCTTTATAGTGACAGTACTAAATGTTGCATTTATTTTACTATAAATTTCTCTGTACACATATGTAGTATGTACAAACATACAATTCTTCATTATCTATAGGATCATATTTGTTGTATACCTTATAGATCTCCCTATATCTATACATACCTCTCTAACTCAGTATCTTTAATGGCTATATAAGTATTTTGAAATATGGATGTTTCCTCCATTCCATGAAAATTTATCTAGTTTGTTCCCTGAATTTTACTGCCACAACCTGTTGCATGTTGACCATACATGCATATATTTTATGCATATGTATTTGAATTTCTGTAATCTCCAAAAAAGAAATTCCTAAGAACTTTAATTTTTTCCAAGTACTACCAAAGTGCTTTTTTAAATGCTATACTGTTTTATGGTATCATAAACAGTATAAGGAAATATACAAGAATATTGACACCTTTTATTCATGAATGAAAATGTTAGATAATGAAGGACTTAGCACATCAAAATGAGCAGTGATTGATTTTTTTGTCTAAACATCTTAGAAGACCTTATACCCTCTACTTCTAGGTTTGCTGATTGGAATGACCCTGAAGAAGACTATTTGATATATACATTTTTTTTGTACCAGGGATCGAAGTCACGACCTCATGCTTTCCAGGAGGCAGGCACTTAAATCCCCAGCCCCAAGACTATTTCATGTCAAACATAAAATAATTTTGTTGCATTTTAACAGTTCTAGTGCAATGATCTGGCTGTATCCAGCTGAAAGTGAAGCTGTAAAATTAAATTTTTATTTTTGGGCACTGTGTATATACAGAACCCAAACAGGATACTGTAGTTACTATAGTAAAAAAAAAGACAGAAAGAAAGAAAAAGAGAAATTGTATAGTTGATTGTACCAAATTCTTTCCTATAGTGTTGCTTCTCTTATTACTCTCCGCTTTACTATTTTTATTAACACATGCTTTTAGTATATAATGATTACATTTCTTATAGTGTATGTATATAATACACTGGCCCTTCTCTCAGGAATTAGTCCTCTTATCTCATTTTGCCCTCTCTCTGTATTAACATTTTGTCTTAATTTCTGTTTTTTGTGAACACTTACCCTGCTCAAGTATAACCAGATATGAAACCTCAGCCTAGGTGCTCATCAACAGATAAACAGGTAAAGAAAATGTGAAAATACACATGTTGTAGTATTATTGAGCCATAAATAACAATGTCTGTTCCTGTTTCCTCTGTGTATTTTTCCCTCTCAATGTGTGTCATAGTTATCTTTGTATTTTGTTGTTTCCTTGTTTCCCTGTTGTGTATCACTGCTTCTTCTGGTTTTAGCTTTACATCTTGTTTCATCTCTCTTTATATGTATTAAAGTTTTTAACAAAATATGCTGTCTCTTCATGCATTTGTTTTAACATTATAGGGAATAGTTAAGGACAACCTCGATAAATACTTTTTAGAAAGATTTTTCAATGGGTTGAAAGTATGATTGCATAACAATTGAGATATTTTTCAGATATCAGTCCTTTGTCAATAGAACATTAACAGAACCTCAATAACGCAGTCATGTCTTTGCCTTTTTCTCTTTTAAAATATATGTTGTAGTGCATATTAATTTAACAAAATATACTTCAGCCTTCTGCTTTATTTTCATATGTGCAGATAACATGTTTTGATCTTGTCAAACCTCCTTATTACTTTCCCTTATACTTGAATTCTTATTCCCTGTCTTGTCAAATAATATTCTTCTTTCCACTTTCACATCATCTTTGTTTTTTGACTCCACATATTAGAGAAAATGACAAATTTGTCTGAGTCTGGCTTATTTCAATTAATATGATGATTTGCCAACCATCTGTTTTTCTGTTAATGATGCAATTTTGTTTCTCTTTATGTCTGAATAATTATACACTTTGTATGTGTATCTGTTCTTCTACCCATTCATCTGTTGATAAGTACCTAGGTTGATTACTTGCCTATGCACAGCACAGCTCTTGAAATTCCCAGAGTGAGGATGGTGGAGGATGAAAAAATGAAGACAAAGGTCAGAATGTAGATGTCAGGGGGAACCCTCTCTCCTGATGAGAGAAAGGGAACTGCCCAATGACTGCAGTGCCTTTATTTATACAATCAGCAAGAATCTGATATCACACGCCTAACAATTTTTTTGTATCTCTCACCTTTTGCACTCCATGTTCTAGAACAGACATTGCTCTAGCCTCACATGTGTGATCAGCCACTTCTCACATCAACTATTGTGAATTGTGCTATAGTAAACATGGTTTTGCAAGTGTCTCTATAGTATGTTGACTTGAATTCCTTATTTATGTAGACTAAGAAATGACATAGCTGGATGTCTTACAATAGCACAAAATAAATATTTCCACTCCAAATAGGAGGCTACAAAAGAATGAGACCAAACCCAGTCTAAAATCCAGTGGGGCAAACATTAAGCCCATAATTCCATGTCTAGCACTGGAGGAAATATGTGGCAAGACGTGAACTCCAAACAGTCTAGGAGGCTATCCTCCTATGACTTTGTTGGTGGCTGTAGATCTCATGGTTTCTCTCTTGGGCCTGCTTTGCTCAACCCTTGTAACTTTCCTCAGATAATTCACATTCCTGGCTTATGTAAGCTTTAGTAATCTCTATTGTACCTTCAGCTTCACACTCACAGCATCACACACTGCCCTCTCATGAGTACACTGACTAGCTTCTGTAATATGTATGGAAGCCTTCCCAAACCTACAAGTGTTGCATTCTGCATGTAGCTAAAACTAGCACCGTTAGATGGTGCTAAATTCCTCGTCCAGCTGGATCTACTGCTAGGCTTTCTTCTCTCTTGGCTCTTGGGGTTGAGTGCCTGGATGGCTGAGCACTATGAACCAAATCATGAGAAACAACTTCCCTAGGCCAATACCATTCTGGAACACGGTGCTCTTGGGCTCATATCTTATTTTTTTTTTTTTTTTTTACCTTTGCAACTCTAAGGCTGCAAAGGCTAGAGTCCTATGGTTTCTGTGATGTCCTCAGGCCGTTTTTCTATTGTTTTATTCCTTCTCAGCAGCCAGGTTATCTTCTGACCTGTCTTTAAAGTCTACATATTTCCTGGAGCTTCATTTCTGGCCAAACTCAAAACTTATATAATCACTGTACTGAGCTCTTTGCTCTTGATTTTCAATATATATATATGTATTCCTAAAAGCCTCCAATAGTACCCATACCACTATCTCAAAATTAGACTGCCTTGAAATTTCTTCTGTCGGTCCCATATTTACTTGAGTTGGAAGAGGCGAGTCTGGTCTCAAAATGGAGGGCCACGATCCAAAGGAACCAGAGCAGTTGAGGAAACTGTTTATTGGTGGTCTGAGCTTTGAAACTACAGATGATAGTTTAAGAGAACATTTTGAGAAATGGGGCACACTCACAGATCGTGTGGTAATGAGAGTTCCCCAAACAAAACGTTCCAGGGGCTTCGGTTTTGTGACTTACTCTTGTGTGGAAGAGGTGGATGCAGCAATGTGTGCTCGACCACACAAAGTTGATGGGCGTGTAGTGGAACCAAAGAGAGCTGTTTCTAGAGAGGATTCAGTAAAGCCTGGTGCCCATCTAACAGTGAAGAAAATTTTTGTTGGTGGTATTAAAGAAGATACAGAAGAATATAATTTGAGAGACTACTTTGAAAAGTATGGCAAGATTGAAACCATAGAAGTTATGGAAGACAGGCAGAGTGGGAAAAAGAGAGGATTTGCTTTTGTAACTTTTGATGATCACGATACAGTTGATAAAATTGTTGTTCAGAAATACCACACTATTAATGGGCATAATTGTGAAGTGAAAAAGGCCCTTTCTAAACAAGAGATGCAGTCTGCTGGATCCCAAAGAGGTTGTGGAGGTGGCTCTGGCAACTTTATGGGTTGTGGAGGAAACTTTGGAGGTGGTGGAGGGAATTTTGGCCGTGGTGGAAACTTCGGTGGAAGAGGAGGCTATGGTGGTACAAGAGGTGGCAGCAGAGGTAGTTATGGAGGAGGTGATGGTGGATATAATGGATTTGGCGGTGATGGTGGGAACTATGGTGGAGGACCTGGTTACAGTAGTAGAGGAGGATATGGTGGAGGACCAGGATATGGAAACCAAGGTGGTGGATACGGTGGTGGTGGTGGAGGATATGATGGTTACAACGAAGGAGGCAATTTTGGTGGTGGTAACTATGGTGGTGGTGGGGACTATAATGATTTTGGAAATTACAGTGGACAACAGCAATCAAATTATGGACCCATGAAGGGGGGCAGTTTTGGTGGCAGAAGCTCTGGCAGTCCTTATGGTGGTGGTTATGGATCTGATGGTGGAAGTGGTGGATATGGTAGCAGAAGGTTTTAAAAAAAAACAACAGAAAAGGGCTACAGTTCTTAGCAGGAGAGAGAGCGAGGAGTTGTCAGGAAAGCTGCAGGTTACTTTGAGACAGTCGTCCCAAATGCATTAGAGGAACTGTAAAAATCTGCCACAGAAGGAACGATGATCCATAGTCAGAAAAGTTACTGCAACTTAAACAGGAAACCCTTCTGGTTCAGGACTGTCATAGCCACAGTTTGCAAAAAGTGCAGCTATTGATTAATGTAGTGTCAATTAGATGTACATTCCTGAGGTCTTTTATCTGTTGTAGCTTTGTCTTTTTCTTTCTTTTCATTACATCAGCTATATTGCCCTGTAAATTGTGATAGTGGTACCAGGAATAAAAAAATTAAGGAATTTTTAACTTTTCAATATTTGTGTAGTTCAGTTTTTCTACACTTTAGTACAGAAACTTTAACATAATGCAGTTTTGAAGGTGTTTCCTTGTGAGTTAACAAGTAAAGAAGATCATTGTTAATTACTATTTTGTATGAATTTTGCTAAAGTTAACTGTAAAGAAACACCTACTGACTTGCAGATTTAAGGGGAATAAATCTATTCTCCCCATTTCAAACCATGATACAAATGGGCACTGACATGTGGAGAGAATAGATATTTGTATGTTTGCAATGTGTGTTTTAGATAAAATAGGATTGGGTATTTAAATTAGCATATTTGTGAATTTAATAGCATTAAGATTACTTTCAAATGAAAAATCTCAAAATTCAAAAAAAATTATTACTTCTGTCACATTAATTAGCCTTCAACACTTAATCTGAGACTCAGGCAAAGTCTCTGAACAAAAGCAAAATGCAGACAAATTGTCTGCAGAAATATAATACACATGGTGTCAAGTCCAACAGCCAATGAAATCCTTCTTGCAAACAGAAATCTCCTGATCCTGGTCTTTACCAGCAGCTTTTCTGTCAACATTCTTCTGAGCTCTGATCAAGATCTCACATGAAGTTCAGTTTACAGGATTTTAGGGTTGCTTCTTCAGGTCAGGTTTCCAAAACTTTGAAAATTCTTCCCACAAGCCAGTTCCAGAACCTCTTGAACCATGTGGCCAGGTGATGTCACAGCATCGGTCCCACTTTTCTGGTACCAAAGTCTGTCTTGATTACTTTTCTAGTTGCTGAAGCAAAATAGCTGACAAAGTTAAAAGAGGAAGGATTTATTTTCACACACATTTTATAAAAGTTTCACTTTTATAGTCAGTTGGATCCAAAACAGGTGAAATGGCAGAGGGACATCGCAGTAAAGAAAAAATTCCTGGGTGTGGCAGGCAGAAGGCAGATAAACAGCAAGTGACAACAGCAGCAGCCCAAGCAGCTTTCTCTCTCTCCCTTCATCCTCTAATCAGGTTCAAATCCTATTGATTGGTGCCACCCACACCTGAAGTGGGGCACACTTAATCCCAGCATAGCACAACCTATCTTTTTAATCAACACTTACACACTGCATACCACACACACACACACACACACAGCCTTAATGCACATTTACATACTCTAATCCTGCCCCCTTCAAAACTCCCCACTTATGACCATTTGAGGCTCTGGAAGTCATCTAGATACAAACTATAACACTGAATCCTATAGTAGTTCTAGTTTTAGTTTTTGGAGCAACTTCTACCCTGATTACCATAGTAGCTGAAATAATTTACATTGCCACTATCAGTGGAGTGGTGAGAATGGACAGCCTTCTCTCATTCTTGATTTTAGATGAGCTGATAGTAGTTTTTCCACATTAAATAGAAAAATAGCTATGTTTTCATCACATATAACCTTTATTGTATTGAGGTATGATACTTTGCTTAATTTCTTCAGGGCTTTTATCATGAAGGGATATTGAATTTTGTTAAAGGCTACATCTTTATTTTCTGACTGAAAAACAAACATAACCTTATGATCATGTCTGTGTGAATACCAGACTTCACTATAGACAAATATAAAATATATGACTGGAAAGAATTGTAAAGATATCTTAATTTTCTCTGATGAAAATAATGTAACAAAAATGATACTCTTTTGTCTGCAACTAGCTCACATTTTTAATTGAGTCTTTCAATTATGTACAGATTTATCTATATGTCAAAGTTGTTTAGGTTTCTATAGTCAAGAGTTTGCCATGTAAATACTTTGTAAAATTAGCATAAGCTCATAAGCTGATATACTTGGTTCTTTAAGACAGAGAGAATACAGTGGAGAAGATAATTTTCTAACTGTAATTGAAAGTCATTTGAGCATAACATTATTATTATAATGATCTGTTAAAATTTTAGTTTGATTACATTTCTAAAAACTTTACATCAAATTTGGTACTTCAAGGTAAGAAATAGTAAGGTCTTCATTAGCCATAGTTCATATATCTTTATTTCTTTCATTTTCTCATGTGACTTTAGAACATTTTTGCATGGTAACCCCAGGGAATCAGTAAACACAAAGCTCTTGGGAGACTGTGAATTTCACAGGTATTAACCAGTGCATATTCATATTAATAGTGGGGAGGGAGCACTCTTTTAGAAAAAAAGTAATTTTGAAGCAATTGAACAGCAGTATAATTGTCACCATAGTAGGTATCACACATGGTCCTATATACTTTCTTCACGTAACAGTGGGTTGAAAATAAAGTCACCAAAAACAAAAATTATAATTTAGTAAGCCTAAATTTCAGTCTAAGATTTCCAGGGTATAATTTAAGTTTCTTCTGATACTTTTAGTATTTCAACAGATGTTTGGAACCATATGTTGGGAGCCCAGTGGTCACAGTCATGAGACACTGCTTGATCAGTAGTGATACTTCTTCTTCTTTTTTTTTTTTTTTTGGCTTTTTAAAAAAATTAAGGAGAAAAAGTAAAAAAAGCAGAAAAAGGGTACAAGTTATACAGAATTTCAGAAAAAATAAACAGTAGGAAATCACTAGTTAATGGATTACATGTTGTCATCTTAGAAATAGATGTTCAAGTTACAAAATTAAAGCATATTAAAGTGGACATTCAAACAGTGAGACTGCAAACAGTTCTGTTCAATGATCCAACAAAACTCAGTAATATGATTATATATCTTATACACTTAAATATACATGCAGTTATATCCTTTAGAGCACTTTCTTGGTATTGCAAGTGAACTCTGCTAGAGAATTGACAGCGTGGCCCTTTCTATTTGACTGTGTGAATTAGCAACTTGGTAGAGTTTGCCGTTAAATGGGAAATCTGAATTATCTATTGAACATGCTACAAAACACTTTTCTTTGTGTACCCTTACCACTTAACATATGTAAGTTATTCATTGTCATGCACGTGACTAAGCATTCTAGTATGCAAGAATCTGCGGTTTGGTCATAGCTCCTTGAAGGCAAGGAACCACATTTTATAATCTTAGACATAGTTTATGACTCCTATATCATCTAACTTCTAGAGCAACAGTAATTTAGTAATATTTAAGAGACTGTATGTTTTAGTCACATAAACCTAAATTTAAATCCTTTTTCCCACAATTCATTGTCATGACCTCAACTAAGTTATAAGTTCCAATTTCTTGAAAAAACAAATGAATATAATACCTCATAAGATTTTTGAGAGGATATAAATGCCATATGTCTATGTATCACAATGTCTGGAACACACAAAATGCTCAATTATTATAAAATGCAGTTCAGCATTTTTAAAATTAATTGACTCTGTTGTAGAAATAGGTAAACACAGGAACTTAAGAAGTTCATATGGTCAATTTTTCTAATCCCCTCCTGATTTTAGAGGAAGTATGAAATAAATTTGTGATTAACTAATTCAATTCCAGTGATAACTTTTTGGTCAAAATCAAATATTAAATATTTTATTTCACAAAGAATAGAGAAAGGTCAGTTATATAAAGAAATAAAGTGTTTCTGGGTCAATTGTTTTCTATACTTATTATCGCTAAAAATCAGTTATAAAACAGTTCATAATTTGGGTAAAAATGATCACATAGTAAATACGGGTAAACAGAATTTTTAAAAGATCTTAATTCATCTCTTTAATTCACTATCTAGAAAATACCTAAAACCTAACATGATACTTTATTTTGTTGCATTAAATTCCTTACAAACAATCAGCTTTTAGACAAAATAATGGAGGTGGTATAATCATGATTAGAGTACATTTGGGGCAAGAAAATCATGGCAAACTACTAAAGTATAACCAACCTGGTTGAATTGGTAAATGAGTTAATATAGTAGGAAGAACTAAGTCAGGAATGAATCAATACACTATTCTTTTTTTTTCATTTAAAAAAAACACAGAAAAATCAAAAAGCAATCAACAACAAAAGCTAAATGACAAAAAATGATATAAGATTTTGAAACAAAATAATAGGAATTTAACAATGGTGGTTATATTCCATATCATTATCTTCAAAAGAGTTTCTCAGTTTCCAGAAACAGGCATGCAAAATTGATAAAAATGTATGATTTCCTTTTGAGCAGTTTTTTTCCCTTTCACCATATGTATTGTAACTTTTAGATCTTACTTTCAGTTTCTTACACTAGAGAGACAGTACACTGTTTATATATGGGAGTTGGATTTTTTTCTTAACAGTAATAAAATGGCCTACGTTATGAATAGGAAGACATGACAAGAACTAGAGACAAGATGAGAGCTAGAGTAGAGACACTTTTGCAGAGACTATGTAATATGCTGAGCTAGAAATTTGGCAGAAAATATCTTTGGAAAGCAGAGAATTGTGCAGGATACTAAATGGTATTTTGGTGTGGGTTCTTCTAAAAAGATAGACAGTAAGACAAATACTACAAGGGAGTGACACAACCAGACTGTAAGGAAGATGTACAAATAAAGCATGTTAAATGATCAGGTTGCCACTCATTCCTCTGCAACATACCAAGTATTTAAGGAAGCAGTGCATTCATTAACCAACCCTATAACTGATTAAGAATTACTTATTACATGATCACCTCACACTTCTAGCCTGCCTCTTATAGTAGTTAAGCTGTTTTTCTGAACCTCCCACTTGGGAGGAAGATATAAAACACTCCTGTAGATCACTTGTGGAGTGAACCAGGAAGTCATGCATAAGGCACAAAAAGAGTTCATGACAACAGGAGATAAGACACAGCTCAAATCCTGGAATATTTGCATAGATATTATTAGTTGAACATTCCTAATGGGACATCAGAGCATTTCAGAGTTTGGATTTTCAAATTAGGAATCTTTAATCAGTAGTTGCTGTGTTGTTAAAGCCAAGATCTGTGTTTCAAACTTCATTACCCTTTTTCTTGACTTTTCAGCTGTGAAAGAAACTTAACGATGAAGCCGCCAGTTCTTTTGGTTCTTGTGGTCTGTTCTGTAGTCAGCACAAATTTGAAGATGGTATCAAAGAGAAATTCTGGTAAGTTGCTGGCAACTTCTCATTATTTTGGTTAAATATATGCATCTTTTTTGAGCACTTAGAGGACATCTGTGCCTTCTGCTTGGAATATCTTTAAACAGAAGCATTTGCACTACAGTTGTATTGGGAAATAGCCAAAGAAAAATTGAGATTTTAGCATACCACTGAGAAAGTGAAAAATGTTAAAGACCTGGTGGAATTTTGTTAAAATTCAAGGCTCAGTGGACAATGAAATGTTGAAGTCTTACTTAGAGGTATTTATGTTTGCTAGTGAATAACACATGGGAATAAATATTTATAAATGACAGAATAGGAAACTTTTAAAGGTACATATCCTCCTAATTGAACATACGGTATTACATCTTAAATGAATGTTTTTGATAAATATCATTGACTTTTAGTTCTTCATATTTGCGCCAAATCTCTAACAGGAAGTCTTAAAAGCTTCACATTCAAAATATTGGCTAATTTCATGAAGAGACATTTCTCGAGAAAAAATATCTATTCTTAGAACATGGTAGCCTGGCAGCCTGCTATGATTATATTAAGAAATTAGTTTTAGATTGTAGATATCCCAGTAAAAAGGTTAATAACTGTTTCATAACACTTGGATATGTTTTTCAGTTTTGATAATATATTCTAAGTGTAATTACAAATCACCCATGTAATTTTGAGAATTTATATTCTGCCTGTTAATTATGTCAGCATGACATTGAGAAATGTGTTATTATATGAAAACCAAAGACTGTTCTGGGACTTCTTACTAGATTCTAATTCAGTTATTTCTAAGGATTAAAAAAAAATATATATATACTCTACTCTCTAAAAATATAAAATAAAATCCAGGCAAAAATGTACATGATTATTTTTCAAAGCAATAAATACAGTGATACCTTGGTTTATAAACTTATTTTTAAAATTTGGGGGAAGATGGCTGCCTTTGTGTTTGTGTGGAGTAGACAGTTGTGGTCAGCTTTGTCACCCATTGTAGAGTTTGAAAATGGAAGCAAATTTTTGCCCAGTGTTTTTGTTTGCAAACCTAATTGTTTGAAAACAGAAATGTTCATGAACCAAAGTATTATTATAATGAATAGGGCTTGGAGTGTGGTTAATGTTTATTTTTTGAGGTACAAATACTTTTTAATTGAAATAGTTAACAAATATCATTATTCTTCAGTTGATAGTATATTAATAAATCTGTCACAAAAGCTGGTCACATGACAAGAAATAAAAGAACAATGCTAACATTCAAAATATTCTGAAATGGTAAAGTTGTGGCAATATATTGACTTTCTTTTCCTCTTATGGGCTTATGTATTTGAATCACTGTAATGTAATTGACTCTCACTCATCTGTATTTGTGTGTAATATTTTACCTATAATCTCTCTAATTTAACATATCACTCATGGTTGCGTGTTCTTGCCTTGCTTTTCAAGTCATGTTTTCACTTTCGATCTTGGTTAAGGTTGATCGTTGTTGAAATAAAACACTCAATAGCAAATGTAACTTATTTGGACCAGATCCCATTTTCATCTCTTGGTTATGTCATAATGTCTATGACAGAATCTGAAAGGGAAAAAATGAGTTAAGTGTTTAAAATGTCATCTATATTATGGTAGTTTAATTCAAGGAAAATCCTAAATAAAAGCAAAACAAATAAGAAAACCACAAGGTGCTATCTGTATTTTCTTCCTTATATTTTAGTTTGCTTATTATATATGAGGAGAGAGAGAGGCTGTTCACACATGTAAAGCATGTTTTTATTGATATACAGGTATTGTTCAGAGATCATTTTAAAAATGTTTTGATTTTATTTGTTAAATATGGTTTTATTTGTTTTGTTTGAGGCCATTTGTGGTTTAATAGGGATCTTTGATTTCTTAATGTGTCTGAATGTAGTTAGCTTGATTGAAGAACATAATACAAAATGTTTTCCACTTAAATTTAAAGTATTGGAATGGTTTATTTTTCACATTCTCTAGATCTTTGTTATCCCCTCTAGGACAATAGCAATTCTAATATCAACACAAAATGTTTCTCACAGGCCTGGGCAATAGAAATGTTTTGAATGCACATTTGATCTTTTTAAGTCTTTCTGCTTCTGTTCATGGTGTACATAAAGTGGGCAGAAAACACTTAAACACTAGTCTTGGTTCATGCTTATTTGTGTGCTTTTAGTTTCTATGTTTGTTTATTAGTTCATAATGTAAGAAAGTAGATGTGGGACCAGTAAAATACATCCTAGTTTTGCCTATAACTGATGTAATTAGGGATTCTCTGGAGCAGTCTTACCTTCTGATTAGCCACTCTCATCATAATCCTCCTCTCAGGCCACTGACTCTGGTTTACCAATGTGTTTAAATGTTATTATTTTAAGCATAAAACAGAATTACTTACACTCTATGTATAATAGTTCTATTTGTGTTGCCTTTTTCTTTTGAAAAATATTTTAAATATACTTCAGCAAATCTGTACTGACAAATGATATTTCATGTTGTTTGAAAATTCTTTTGTCTTTCAATAATTAAAGAGATTTGAGTTTGAGTTCATATAGTTTCTCTTTGTGAAAACAGCAGTGGAACTCAAAGATTCTGTATTTTCTCTGCTTTCTATCTCTCAAGTTGGGAAATGAAAAACGATTGTGTCCTTTATTCACTAGCATTTATGATAAGTTAGAACCAGATGTGCAGCTAGTAAAATGACTTTTGTGCAGTTCACTACAGACAGGGTTTCTTTCACTAAAATCCCAAAATAGTCTGAAGCAAAAGGCCTCCCTTATGCACCAGAACATTAAGGGATGAAACTATCTCCTGCTCTTTTGAAACAAAGAAAATAATTTAATAACAGGTGCAGGTTCTTTTTTTTTCCGCTTACATTAGGTGTGGAACCCAAGGTGTCATATATCTTAGGCAAGCACGTTACCACTGGATCACATCTTTTAAAAAGTTCCTTTTAAAAAATCTACTGTGGGCACATGTTGAAGTCAACCTCCTGGTTTTTGATAGTATACAATTTTTATAAATGAAAGCTCAAGCTGTTTCTATGTAATGCTCTTTGATGATGGACAAATCTAACCATCAGTTCTACCACAGGAAGTAGTTATGATGTCAGAAACTGTATACAGGGCTTGGCTGCCTTGGAACATGTAAAAATGAATAGCCTCTAGTTTTAAGGATTGTAGTTAACTGGCCAAGTATGATTTTGTTGTCTTCTTTACAGAATACTTAGGCAGTTTGTCAGTATTTTTGTTCTTTAAATTAAGGACTATGTGTATATGATCCATTTAAAAAATCTACTATAGATAGATTTACGTTAATACATTTACGACAGAGCTGTGCATGCACGAATGTCCCATTGAGTGGTTTGTACCACCCAATGGGACTGTTCTATGCCATCCAATGAGACAGTCACACATGTATCAGTGGTAATTTGGGAATGTGCGAAAGGTGTCATCCTTTATGGAAAGAACATCTTGACAAGTGTCAATAATGTTAATTTATGTTAAGTACAGGTCACATGCATGTAAAACTAATTTTTAATAGGATAAATGGGAGAAATTACTCTCCCTGAAGGAGAGATCATTCAAGATCCTCTATTTGCCTTGTTTTTTAACCTGAAAAACTATGTCCTCAGTGTACTACAGACCTTATTATTCAGGGCATTAAACTTTCTTCATAGCTTTTCTCTGACATTTGTTGCTGCTGCTGCATGAAAATGTGAATTGTGTAATGCAATTGTTGACATTTGGTTCTTACATAGTCTTTGCATTTGAAAATCCATATTAGAGAAGACATTAGTTTTTGGGGGGTATTTTAAATCATTAACACAACTTAAATCATTGAAGTCAGTTCATTTGTAGGGTAACTATCACAAACAACTTCTCAATGATCTCCTATTGGAGCAACACTACAAAGCTACCTGATATTTTAATTAGCTAGAAAAATGTAGTTCCTCAGTGGAAGGAGGATACAGAGACCTGCTAACATACAGTAGTATTATGGTTTGTGTCTGGATGTCCCCAAAAGCCTTATGCTGTCATGAGGCAGTTTCTTTACAGAGGTAGCTGAATCTAGAGTTTGTGAATGATTCATTGTCTATTACAGGAATTATGAATGCAAGTGCTACATCTGCCATAGAGTGGGTAGTCTGTGTACAATATAGTGGGCAGAAAGAGTCTTCTCTGCTTGTTCCTTTTTGCTCTTGTTGCTTTTATTGTATTCTGCTGCTATGAACTGTTGCCCCTCTGCCACACCACTCTGTCTTGGAGCCAGCTGATTATGGACTGAAGCCTTCACAAACTGTGAGCTAAATAAAACTTTCCTTCTTTAATTTTGAGCATCAATTGTTTTGTCTCAGCAATGAGAGAAAAGTAATGAAGACAAGTAGGTGCTTAGATATTTTGCATTACCTACGGGAAAGTATTCAGTTACATGTAATGAGAGAATGGCTTTCAAGCTTTGGCTTCTTGGTTCATAGAATTATGTAATTATCTGGTTGGTGATGAGTGACTTGCAGTATATTTTCCGTAAAAATATACTAACTTTAGAATTTCTATGTGATAACTAAGGAAATCCTTAAAGACAGAAATAGAGTTATGTGAGCCAGTAATTCTGGCACAAGCTAGAAATAGTTTTTAAACCACTTACAAGTAGTTATAAGTGTAAACAATATTACATCCCCTGGGAAAAAGTTTGTTACATGATTAAAATAAAGTGAAATAATCTGCTTTGAATTCTTCAAAAAAATAGACAATAAGACGTTCCTTTTAAAACACTGATTAGAAGTAATATTCCTCTAAGGATATTCATACTGTTTGTGAGCTGTGGATTATGAAATGGCTACATTAGGAGTTAGAAGATCAACAAGGAGTGATTGAAATTTCATCTTCTAAGTTGATTCTAATTAACTAAAATCAAGGAGAAAAATTTCTTCCCATGAACTGTTATTTAATTGGAAGAGACAATCTGAGATTTGGTAGTTAGGTACTTTTATATCTTTA